TCACTTACCCAGCGTGGCGCCCCACAGCAGCAGCTGCAAAGGGCTGGCTAGATAGGGAAGCCAACCCATGACTCCGCTGGGTCCTTCTTCCAGCGCTGCTCTCCGCGGCTCTGCCGTTAATGCTCGGACTCTTGCTGGCTTATAGAAGAATTCCCACCTCCTGCTCAAGAAGGCTCTCATGGGTCCTAAAGCCCTCGTCGTTTTCCTCCCCCCATCCCCAGTCTCTTCAGCTACTGCGCGAAGGATCCGCGAATCCAAGAAGCGGAGCTCACATCAATTATTGACGCATCCGTCTCTACATTAAGCGCCAGCGTTCAGTTCGACCTCTTATTAGGTGTTTCCCTCCCTAAACTCTCACAGCTGCCTCCATGGAACTGCTCTGTTCTCTCTCAGCCCAACAAACACAATTTCTAGCCCAAATTCAGGTGATATGTAGGGTGGTGTAAAATAGATTGCCCTGGGGTCAATCTCCTATCCCTGACACTAGTATGCCAGGAGAAACCAGATCTCCTTACGTTAATGTAGCTTTCCTTACACTCAGCTAGACTTCCCTAGATCCACTTACACCCATTTACCCATGTGCAAGAGAGCTGTGGGTTACATAATGATGTATGTGCTTTAGCGTCCACCTTCTAATACACTTTGTGTAGCTGCTTGCTAATTAATTTCCCCCTATCCCTGGCTCCTCAGATATGAGAGTTACATTAGAGTCACAGGACCAGATTCAGAGGCATGAAATCACAGAAATGTAGAGTTGGACAGACCGCAAGACTTCCACTAGTCCAGCCCCTTGCACTGAGGCAAGATCAAGTAAAAATCTAGAGACATTCCCTAATAGGTCAATTCTGTGCTCTAAAAACCTCCAATGGCATAGGTGTGAATATGTAAGAGGCAGATGGGAGTCACACTGAGGCTACGTCTACATTGGCATGATCTTGCACAAATACTCTTTAATGCAAGAGAGCGTTTACACTGGCATGCGCTTTTGCACAAGAGCATCCGTGCCAGTGGAGATGCTCTTTTGCGCAAGAAAGCTCAGATGGCCATTTTAGCCATCGGTCTTTCTTGAGCAAGAAATTCATGTTGCAACTGTCAAGAACAGTTGCACAAGAGGGCTTATTCCTGAGCGGGAGCATCATAGTTCTTGCACAAGAAGCACTGATTTCACACATTAGAATGTCAGTGTTCTTGCGCAAGAACTCCCCGCCAGTGTAGACAGCCAGTATGCTTTTGTGCAAGAGTGGCTGCTTTGGCGCAAGATCATGCCAATTTAGACACAGCCAGTGGGTATGAGTCTAAACTTAACATACAGGTTGAAGGGAGTGGAGGAAGGCAGAGGTCACATTAGCTTAGACCCCCTCTAAACCAGGAATGTCAAACTGCTTCAATGGAGAGCCCTGAATTCCATCTTTAATTATGGTCCACGGAGGGGATTATAAATGCAAAATTCCATAATCTCAAACTAACTGAATCTTTCACTGATGTCAATGGGAAGTTTTCACAAATCTCAAGCAGATTCGTTTTTGACACATCTGTTGTTGTTACTCCAACTGGTGCAAAACTAGGGATAAGTGACTCTCAAACAATTCACAGCACTATGTGCTTCTCTAAATTCTATGGGGGGAGGCGGGGAGCAAATCTTGGAGACCATGACTGTTAAGTAATAACAACCAGTCTTCTCATCTCTCTGAAAGTCTCCTTCCTCCCTCCCCCAGGATTCACAGCTGTTATTGAAAGGAAGGATAAGAAATTTAGCCTGGGACTTTGGAGTCTCTGTTTCAATTCCTTGTTTTGCTACTGGCTTCCTCTATGACTTTGGGAAATTGCACAGTCTCAATTTAGTCACCTGTAAAGTGGGATAATACAGCAAGGCCAACTACCCAGGAGTGCTAAAGGGATAAAAAACATTAAAGATTGTGAGAGGCTGAGATATTGTGGTATTGGGGTCCTGTGGGAAAGTGGACTCACTGCAGGTGTGTGCCCCCTTATAGCTAGAAGGGACTTAGTAGTGCTGTCTTCTTTAGCACCCTGATGATAGTTACTCCAATCCTGTGACAATCTAATTCTTCATGCAACTTAACCCTCCAGTCAAGTGACATTTTAGTCCCACACCTTTTGGAGGAAAAAAGCCCAATGAATATTCCCTGGACAAAAGAGCCTTCTTCAGCTAGTTCTCGAGCCATCCTTAAGACTCAGTCTCCAGCCCCATGCTCTGCTTGGAATCCTTTTGTACAGCTCATATACTTCTTCCTCAGGCTGCTACAAGAACCCAGACCCACTCTCAGCTCTTGCCTGAGCCAGGCTAGGTACCCTGTATTAAGCAGCTAGGTATGATCCTTCAGATGCACTGCTGTTTTTGTGGGCCCCTTCCTACCTCTGAACCCCAGGGTCTGCTCCCTTGTGACCTGTATTTAACACAGCCTCCTCTGTCCCTAAACCTCAGGTTTTTCCCTAGATCCTCCCAGCCCCTTTCTTATTAGGACACTCAAGACTACTCCACTATGCCTTGCCTGCTTACAAGGAACCGCCACAAGGATTAATGCCATCTCTGTAGCCTTCTTCAGCCCGCCTTCCCCAGTCAGACAATACAGTCTATCTCTGGGATTTCTCTGTTTGGGATCCCTCTACTAGATTCTCTAGTCACGCTAACTTCTTTCTTTTATGATGAAGGACCAGTTCCTCCTCGGATGGTTCTAATAACAAATCAAACCTGAAACACTCTCCAGCTGTATTCAGATGGGGTGACTGAGCTGTCAGGTGTCTGTTAAACTTTTGTTCGCCTCTGCAGGGTAGACATCTCATCACATGGCCATATAAATAACCAAAATAAATAGATAGCCCTGAAGACTGAAACCCTCTATTCCTAACAATTATAATAAATAACAATCAGAAACAGCAGTCGCTTTCCCTTATCTTTGACATAAGGGGACCACTTCTGTGGATAAAGAAACAGCTTGTTGTTCCTCATGACACATTCATAAAGTAGATTTGAATCAGTACTTAGATTTAACACCCTTTGTGTCAGATGTTACACAAGCATTACTTAGGCACTTGTTCTCCCATAAAAGAGCTTGGATAAAGCACAAGATAAAGTTGCAGCTACCCAAATACTCATTATCTGCCTTCTGCATCACACGGGTTTAAAAGTAAGCCAACAAAAGGCAACAAATGTAGCAAACCAGGCAATACAGAATTAAGATACTAGGACAAATAACAAAGGATGAATATAGGCAAGCAACACGGGAATGCAGGGGCAAGATTAGAAAGGCAAAGGCACAAAATGAGATCAAACTAGCTACAGGCATAAAGGGAAACAAGAAGACCTTTTATAAATACATTAAAAGCAAGAGGAAGACCAAGGACAGGGTAGGCCCACTGCTTAGCGAGGAGGGAGAAGCAGTAACAGGGAACTTGGAAATGGCGGAGATGCTCAATGACTTCTTTGTTTCAGTCTTCACCGAGAAGTCTGGAGGTGTGCCTAACGTAGTGAATACAAGCAGAGAGAGGGTAAGTTTAGAAGATAGGATACACAAAGAACAAGTTAAAAATCACGTAGGAAAGTTAGATGTCAGCAAGTCACCAGGTCCTGATGAAATGCATCCCAGGATACTCAAGGAGCTGATAGAGGAGGTATCTGAGCCTTTAGCTATGATCTTTGAAAAATCATGGCAGACAGGGGAGATTCCAGAAGACTGGAAAAGGGCAAATATTGTGCCCATCTATAAAAAGGGGAATAAGAACAACCCAGGAAACTACAGACCGGTCAGTTTAACGTCTGTCCCAGGGAAGATAATGGAGCAGGTAATTAAGGAAATCATATGCAAACACTTGGAAGGTAATAAAGTGATAGGGAATAGCCAGCATGGGTTTGTGAAGAACAAGTCATGCCAAACTAATCTGATAGCTTTCTTTGATAAGATAACGAGCCTTGTGGATAAGGGAGAAGCGGTGGATGTCATATACCTAGACTTTAGTAAGGCATTTGATACGGTCTCGCATGATATTCTTATTGATAAACTAGGCAAATATAACTTAGATAGGGCCACGATAAGGTGGGTGCATAATTGGCTGGATAACCGTAGTCAGAGAGTTGTTGTTAACGGTTCTAAATCCTGCTGGAAAGGGATAACAAGTGGAGTTCCGCAAGGGTCTGTTTTGGGACCCGTACTGTTCAATATCTTCATCAATGATGTAGATATTGGGATAGAGAGTACGCTTATTAAGTTTGCAGATGATACCAAACTGGGTGGGGTTGCAACTTCTTTGGAGGATAGGGACATAATTCAAAATGACCTTAGCAAGTTAGAGAAATGGTCAGAGGTAAACAGGATGAGGTTTAATAAAGAGAAATGCAAAGTGCTCCACTTAGGAAGGAACAATCAGTTCCATACATACAAGATGGGAAGCGACTGTCTAGGAAGGAGCATGGCAGAAAGGGATCTAGGGGTCATAGTGGACCACAAGTTGAATATGAGTCAACAGTGTGATGCTGTTGCAAAAAAAGCAAATATGATTCTAGGTTGTATCAACAGGTGTGTTGTAAGCAAAACTCGTGAAGTCATTCTGCCGCTCTACTCTGCACTAGTTAGGCCTCAGCTGGAGTACTGTGTCCAGTTCTGGGCGCCACATTTCAAGAAAGATGTGGAGAAATTGGAAAGGGTACAGAGAAGAGCAACAAGAATGATTAAAGGTTTAGAGAACATGACCTATGAAGCCAGGCTTCATGAACTGGGCTTGTTTAGTTTGGAAAAAAGAAGATTAAGGGGGGACATGATAGCGGTTTTCAAATATCTAAAAGGGTGTCACAAGGAGGAAGGAGAAAATTTGTTCCTCTTGGTTTCTGAGGACAGGACAAGGAGTAATGGGCTTAAAGTGCAGCAGGGGAGGTTTAGATTGGACATTAGGAAAAAATTCCTAACTGTCAGGGTGGTCAAATATTGGAATAAATTGCCAAGGGAGGTGGTGGAATCTCCCTCTCTGGAGATATTTAAGAACAGGTTAGATAGACATCTGTCAGGGATGGTGTAGACAGAGCTTGATCCTGCCTTGAGGGCGGGGGGTGATCACACAACCCTAACTATGGCCCATGAAAGACCAGAAGGCACTCCATTTTCACCCCTTATTGTAAGTGATGCAAGTGCAGGAACTATGCTGGGACAGTGAGAGG